AGGATTCGCACATCTTCCCGACAAATGATGGAATCAATCACGAAGAGATTCTACACCAATCTCTTTCGCTCGTCAACATCCGTGTCAAATCTGTTATTCCCACTGGAGAAATGCCATCAAGAGTTCTATTTGCTGAAATACGCAAAGCAAGCAGACCATGAAGGCAGCCACGGCTCCGCTACCGGACCATGTTTCGGCTGACCTCTTACGAGCTGGAGGACATCACCTACAGATATACTTCTCCCCGACCAGTGGAGAACCTCTCGAACAATCCTTCTTTACAAGAAGGGCCATAGAGAGGATCTTCGGAATTACCGTCCAATATGCCTGCTGAGAGTGCTTTACAACTCTTCACGTAGATTATTTTCGCTCGCATATCAAGGACATTGGATGAAGCCCAACCAGTTGAACAAGCTGGACTCTGCTAGGAATTTGTACCGCCTACCTCTTGTCCTAACCTTCGCTTATTATGAGAAAGCGTTTGACAGCTTCGAGACTGATGCCATACTATCAGCGCTCGTCGACCAAGCGGTGGACCCATCTTACGTGAGGATATTGGCCTTGCTACAAGAACTGCTCTACAACGGTACAGCTTTTCCATCTTTTCCATAGCGTACCAATTTAGGGGGTTCGATAAGGCGACACCGTGTTGTCAAGACTGTTCACCGCCGCGTTGCACTGGGTTATGAAATCACTGGAATAGAACGAGAGAGGTATACGAGTTGATAAGAGATCTCTCGAACCTTCGTTTTGCGGACGGCATTGTTCTTTCTCGAGAAATATTACTGAAGCGGAAACGATGTTGAAGGAACTAAACAAAGTAGGGAAGCGGATAGGACTGCGAATCAACCGGAAGAAGACCAATTACGCTTTTTGCGAGGATCAGGAAATGGAATTAGAGGGCTCTTCAATCGCGCCGATAAGAAGAACTAAACAGGAGGCGAAGAGCAGCTTGGTCCGCCTTCAAGCCCTCAAAGGAAGCCACAGACCAGCTGATGGACCCAGAGCGCCGAGCCCACCTGATTCATGTTCTCCCT